CACAACAGTATAGCCCAAACCTTGTGTTCTCATCATTTTAATGACGAATCATTCAAAAACATAAACGAATTCAAATGTGGATTCGAAAGCCGGTTGTTCCCGAAGGAAGGCTCAGTATCCAGTGTATATGGATCAGGTTTGTCCTCCTCCGAATCACAATCTGTAAGTATTATTAATAATGTTTGCTGTTATGTATTCTGTAGCATGCACAATACAGTTATATTGTGTTGTGTGTGTTGTGTACACTCCGCGCAGCTTCTAAGTGGGGTAAAGTTAGTTTTGTTTTTGATATTCACCAGACATTCATTGAAAAATGGCAATTACCTCCTAAACGACTTAGCCAAATATGACTTCGCTCTATATAATAAGCACTGCCCCTCAAAAGCCCCCACAATGTGAGTATCGCCGGGAAAGCTCGCTCTTGACGGAGACGCGAGTAAGGGACCGTGTGGAAAGTGCACTTTTTCTGACACGTTTGTTCAAACACAACACTTGACAAGCTATAATCCTGGTTATGGGCGTTCCGTTGCCGACAGTCTCTGCCTACGGTTTACCAATAACAACTGACTGGGTCATTTGACCAATCGCCGCAGATTCGCGTCACTTAAAGGAGGTGTTTGGGAAAATGAATCGTCGAACGAAACATTTGGGAGTCGTTGAGCAAATCGGGTAAAAATAAATGCATATTATAAGACAAATCTTTATCCTTGCATGCACGTTAAACTGTTTTTGGGAACTCCCAAAACAAAAATAGGAACATTTCAAATGCTATGATAGGGGCTCTTTAACAGAAGGAAAGAGGCACATCATGTTCAGTGGGTCAGCAAAAACTAAAATTAATTTTAATTCTGCAATGTTTAATTACCACATGCAGACCCTAATTAATTGAGACTGCTAAGAGGAATAAGCAAACACCCACCTAAGAAGCACAATAAAGATTACCATGTAAATCGAGAGCACCCATACTGTTGGTACAAATGGAAATTTCACAGTTATATACATCGTAGTGCTCCAAAAACATTAAGCATCCTGTCCTGCTTCATTCCAAAGCACATTTCATTCACTTCCCCATTTGCCTCACACTGTGCTTTTGATAGATTGCATGATAAATATATCATCACCGAGTTGAGATGATAATAAGATTCATAATGGCTTAACAGCTTATTTGGAAGTTAGAACAACAAATGTTAAAAAATTGCCCCAGAACGTCCTAACTCACTGTGTTTGCTGATGTCTGAGATCTTGCATCGTGAAAAAAAAAAAGTCTGACCTTTCTAGAGTCAGTTTTATGACACCTCCGTAATCATGACGTCTACCTCATTAACTAACTGAAGCATGTTATAATGCTATTCCGGTTTTTTATTCCAAGTTAAAGGTGTCTGTGGAAACGTGGTCCATAAGCTCAAGGTCAAAACTTACCAGGGGACTCTGGGAGAGAAGAAAATTACATATTTTAATCATCATAAAAAAAGAGGGAAAAAGATGATTTGAATTCCACAGCCTGGCAATAAAAAAAGACTAGAAAAGATTACATCTCTGTCCATGCACTAGCTATGGGAAAGAAAATCACAGCTTTTAAAAGACCTTTTGACTTTGTGGTACTGAAGTACCTGAAATTTTAAGAGGTACAGCCATTGAACAAACAGTCGTAAACAAGATAATAGTGTAATTTATCACTAGAGCGAATATGTCTGGCTTAATGCAAAGCTGTTTTGTTTCATCCTATTATAAGCGTTAGCTCGTTATTGGATTATTTTCCCCACATTTTAAGGTCAGGCTTTGAGATTTCAATAAAAACAGAGAAAGTGTGCAAGTCCATACTTACAAAAGAAAGCTAGAGGTTCTCTGTTGAATACGTATGTATTACTGTGCTCCTGTCTAGTGTCGCAATTTTGAATTCAGAAGAGATTCAGCCGCAGCAACGTGATCTACGACTGAAATATTAATCCTTTGCTGAGAATGTTCTGCGATTGCATTCCCGAAAGCAATGTGCCTAATGGTGAAATGATGTCTGCCAAAAATGACAGTAAATGACTGTGATGGTTTTTGTAAAAGGCTTTGATGACTGATTTTACAGATTTTACTGGAGGTTGCCTTTAGGTGTATTCCAGACAAGATTTATGGCTAAAAAAAAAGTCTGAAATACCCAATAGTGTACCCAAAAATGAAAAGTATCTGTAATGCTCTTTTTGTTTCAATAAAAGTAAATGGTGGGGACCAGTGGCTATCATAAAGTACCATAACAATATAATACAAGATGTTCATTTGACTTTTTTGGTGATTTTGTCCACAGCCTCTATTCACCATTGATACGAGGGTAAGTGAATGATTTTATTTTTTTATTTTAGAATTTTTTTGTTTTTTTTTGAGTGAACTCTCTTTAAAGTTGAACAACATAGTGCACATTTAGCCTGGCTAACGCCAGACCACGCATCATTGAGAATGAAACGTGGTCTGAAAACCACATGTTAATTTTCTCGTATTTGAGGCGAGGTCTACGAATGTCTATCAAATGCGCCTGTATGTCTATCAAATGTCTATGTCTGTGCTCCCTCCCCGTTCTGTGATTGGTTCCCTATTTAAGGGGAAACCCAGGCTAGTGCACATTAAATCTTTTGATATTTTCCAATGATTCGCAAATATTAAATAAAAGATGAAAAACTAGTAAAAAACAGAGCAAAGCATATCAGTTCAATAGGCCAGATTGGCAGATTCACTCTCACTAGTGTTATAAAGCGTCTGCACTGCCTCAAAGATGAATGACATGCCAGGTAAAACCAACCAACAGTATCAGAACGGAGATCAAGCATGTGGAAAAAGCCCTGAAAGCCAAAAAGAGCTGTAAAATAAATGGACAAGATAGAAGAAAACAAAATCAATATTGAAAAATGATAGACAGCTTCAAGAAAAAAGGTAGCTCTATTGCAAGGTGGCTTCATGTACTGCTCTTTTGTATTGTGTCTTTCTATTTTTAATATTGGTTTTTCATGGTTGAACTTGTTTAAAGTACTTGTGAATTTTCTGGTTTGAGAACTGTGCAGACAGGACTTTTCAATGTACTTGTTTGCAATGCCAAACGAAACAAATGTTGACACCCCAAAAGTCCCTGTAGCACGAACAACATTGTTCCAAGACAATCAACAAAAAACAAGCACCTAAAAGATACATGTGAAAAATGAAAAAGTGAATCATATTTCTCATTTTGATATTGCTATGATGCAGAAATGTATTAAAAAAAATATCATATATATTGTTTATACACAAATTTACTTGGCTATCTAAATAGAGAGATTATATAGACTTATATTATTTTAATATGCACCTAATTATAAATACTATAACCTAACCCTAATCCTAACAGGAAACTTTCTGCATTTTGACAATAAAAATAACAAAACAAACAAACTGTATTTACTTTATCTTTATATGCCATTTATACAAATTATGTCCTCAAATGGAGTTTTAGGTTTAGCAAATTTGTCCCCAAAATATGGTTGTATATAATATTTATATAAAAAACAGTGTATAAATAAAGAATAATTACATTTTATTTTGTAATACTAATAATTTATTATATACGTCTATTTATAATTTTTTTATCATATACTGTACACACACACACACATCTGCAACCGTGTGTGAAGCAAAAAAAAGTCTGTGTTCATCATTCTGAGATCCATCATTCTGAGATGTGTCAAGATGTGCACTGCAAATCCCAGTGCATTGTTAAAAGACAAATGGGAACATACAGGGTATGAACCTTTCCCAGGCGACCTTTAAAATCCTCATGAGAAAGCCCATCGTGTTAACACTGAATTATACTGCACACACCTTCCTACAAACCTGCTAAATGACCTTCCGTCTCAGACTGCATGCAATTGTTAATGTGTCTTTCAAGAGACGGAAATTAACATTAAATTATAGCAATGTGAAGATTAGCTGATACTGACTAATGTGTTTAATTAAGATGCTAGGCAGAACCCTTCGTTAACTGATCAACCTTTGACATGTTATTTCCAACACTTGAGTGCGTGTAAAACTTCAGAAACATAAAATGAGTGCCAAGCAACTTTTGATAAAGTGAAAGCAATAAGTCAGCTAATGGAATTAGATTTTGTGGGTGCTGACAAAACTTCAGATCTACTATTATAGATGAGAAAAGGGCATTTTGATTCATCCTTGTGACTCAAATCTTTTGATTAAATTCACCAATAAGATTCATTACTTCTGTGGGTTACATCATTAGTCTGAGACAAATGCTTTTTTGTCTATTATGAGTCACTGAATCAGTGAGTCATTCATGACCAAAATAAGTCTCATTTTGACATATTAAACTTTGCATGTCATCAAATTTGTAAAAAAAAAAAAAAATACAAAGAAACTGCATTATAAGCCCAGTAAACTCTTTCTCCACTAAAGGCAATACAATTGCCTCCATTTTATCGACTAGGGTCGACTTTTATCAAGCAACCAAAGCACTCATGCACTCCGCATTGGAGATTTCAGTGAACAAAAAAATGTCAGTGTTAGTGGAAGTTAAAGAGGCCGATTTGAAAGGTTAGTTAAAAACCCCGATTTGTTTGGTTAAAACTTGCTTTTTTTCCAAAATACTCATTTACTAAAAAAAAAAAAAAAAAAATATGTATATTAATTCTAATGGAAAAAAATAGCTCTTAAAAATTATATAATTAATGCAGAGTATCATAAAAAACTCTGCAAATTCTAAATAATAATCAGAAAATATTATAGAACAAAAATAAATTTGAACTGAGCTCATTGAAATTTGAAAAAGTAAAGTTAAATTTTAAGGCTTTGTCCGTTTTTGACCGGGAGGAAGCTAAGTGTAACCCATTTACAAAGAAGCCCAGAGGGTTAAAAGTCAATCTCTGGTGGTTAAATGATAATAAGAAAATAAGTTGATAATCGAGCAATTACTTCAACATTAGCTTTTAAGTTAAAGTTAATCTGACCGATAGTGATATCTTAACCGGAAGGCCTACCTTTTGTCGAATCTCCTCCTCCATTTTGACGGGTGATCCATATTCAGCCACCTGCTTGACTCCTTCACTGGCGAAACCTCCGTACTCCCACAACACGTAGTTTCTTGAGTGAGAAGCACCAATGAGAGCCGACCAATGATTAGCACGTCCTTTGGGGCAGAAATAATAGTGAGCAAATAACTGATCTTTCGAGCTGGAGATTTTATACAATGCCAAATCCAACATCCAGTTAATTGCTTTTGAAGTCATTTGTTCTCTAGCGTGTATCTTAACACATCTAAGTTTCTACACTTCTCTCTCTTTAAAGAGCCAACCGCATACATCAATGTCTGTTTCCACAGACCTATTAACTAGCGGCAGTGCGCTCTGTGACAACATCTGCCCGGCATCTCTTATCTCACAAAGTATCGCGGCCCAGGCAGTCGTCTTGCCTGCGTGCCAGACAGTAAATAACAGATTGGATCATTGCTGCCACACACATAGGTAACAGAACCAGCCCTCCTGCTGACTGCTATATTAGCAAACCAGCCCTGAGAGCTAAATCTGTGAGAAAGAGATATTGCTGCCCACCTCTACCCACTCTTTCTGCAATGCACTTTGCACTGTAAAATCAGTGTGGCATCAGAATTAGTAAACAACAATGTATTGTCAAATTCCATAATGCAATACAGGGTGAGGTACCGTATTTTTAATGTCAGTACCAGGCACAATGTGGGTAGGGCCTAATAATGTTTTATGGTAATATAATACGTCGCCAATGTTCTTACTTGGGTAGTCTTTGGGATGCACCTTCTCAGACCAGTTTCCATAGAAAGTGACTCGATACTTGGCTGTTCCACAAGCACAGCATTCTTGAATGGGTTTTTCAGTGGTCTCAACTGGATCTGCAAAACCATTCAGAAGAAGATAGTTACATTTAACTTTCATGTCACAAAACTGATTATACACACATTGAGAATGCACAAATTGACACGGCATGCATAAAGAACAATTTACAGTGCACAGTGCACCAAAAACAGATCATGAAAGGGGAAAAAAAGGTATGTTCACTGAGCATGTCAGGAGGTGGGAAAACAGATTATGTAGATGTAAAAATGCTATCACAGGGATGTGCATGAGAAACCCAGCTTTAAAATTACCTTTCTCGCACAGTCTTTTGGTAAGTGAGCCCTCATCTTGGAAGAAAATGATTCTTCGCTGCACAACACTGGCCCTGTAACGACATTAAAATGTTCACCCAAAATTTGGTTCCTTTTATCTTTGTCCTGTAGATATAGTTTTGTGTGTTTTACATTTACTGTACCACCATTACCGCATTCAAAATTGTATTGTAATGGGAACAGGCGATGCATCTTTTAACAAAGGCTTCAGTGCATAATGCCACATTTGCATAATGCTACTATCTGAGAACATCTTTCAATGATCTCAGTTAGCATGCTTTTAAAATGAAGTCATATAGAGACATATACTGATGTCAATATGTCTAACTAGACTCAGAGAAGAAGCAAATGTATTCAAGAGCGCAGTCCAAGTTCAGAGAGTCTCCTTTAAACCTTCTGCTGATGGAGTATCCCACAGACCTAACCACACTCGGCTTATATCAGAATATCAATGGTGAGTCCTAGAAATGTCCCACTAGAGCCTATTGCCGTTGCTGTCAGTCAAGGACATAACATGTGGTAGAACTGCCCATAATGCTATGCCCTCCTGAGAATAATCCCACAAGTTTTATGTGGGTGGTTTAGAGAAAAATCTGGTGCTGGCCTTATCAAAATGTGAAGATGTGTACAATATGATGGATTCTGGGCTCATTTGGGCTTTGCAAAGTGCTTTTTGAGAAACTGAGTAACATGTTTTTTGACATATATTGAATAATATGTGAGCAGTGCCTTGTTTGACAAAGAAAATGTATACAATTATGTTTTTGAAGTATAATCTAATTTGTTAAAACTGACATTTATAATCTTAAAAAGGATACATTAACGCATTAACAACAAAAAATATTAATTGTGTATATAATAATAAAAATAAATAAATAATATGTTATTATTAAAGGTGCAGTAAGCGATTTCTGAAAAAAAAAAATGCTGTTGAAAGTGGACCGAGCACCACAACACACTTGTAGCCAATCAGCAGTAGGGGGCGTATACACTTATGATAGGGTATGAGAGAGTGAGCAAATGGGAGATTTGAAGAAAAAAGGCTGATGAAAGAGAGATGGCTGAGAGACATTACAAAAGAGAAAAGGTCAGATGAATATCAATAGAAAAAGAAGAATTATGATCAGCCAAGAGCTTTAGGACTTGTGTTATTATTAGAAAAGCTTTACGATGCCGGAGAGAGAAGCGAAGCGGGAAGGCCTGCGAACGGATGCGGAGGTTGCATTGTTTCTGCTCCATTCGCGAGCACAATTGGGTTTTGCTTGTGTAGAGTAATGTATTCATTTTTTGTTTCTTGTCGCTCGTTCGTCATCAGATCAGTTCGTCAGAAAGCGATGGGTTTGCTTGGGTTGAATTCAAATATCAACCGTGTTCAACAATGACTATCACAGATCAACAATAAATAAATCAGTTTGCATTAATTGTTTTTATTTATTTAAAATGTATTTGATAAAAAGACAAAAAACAATATTGATGCCAATAAATTGTCTCAAAAGTATGGGTGGTTGTAGAATATTTATGTGACAAATCGCTAATCACAGGCTATATCTGTATTTAAAAAGGTTCATGAACTACAAACATTTAAGTTAGAGGCATTTTCAGGATTCTACTCTAATATGGAGAGTAAAAGTTTCAGTGTGTTTGCGTCACCAAATAGGAAAATTGGTGTGAAAGTTTCTCAACAGTGGTCATCAAAGTGGGACTGCTCAAGACTTGATATGTTCTTCTCAAAACTTCTTAAGATGTCCCCTCTGTTGTTATTTGGTATTGATCATCTCATTTGAACACCTGAAGTCATTTATCTCCAGAGTCCCAAAGCTTGTCAACAAAACCATCACAAATGCTGCATCTTATCTGCCTTCCACAGCTTGATGGCACCAAAGAATCAAAGGGGAAAAAAATCCAGATCAAAACTTCCTTCCAATCCCTGGTCTGTTTGACATTTCACTAGAAAAGTGCTGGAGGGATTCCAGAAGTAATTGCACTTTTATTTGATGTTCATTTGCCGCCATTGCCAGTTGTGCTTCGAGCCTGAGATCTGGCATTCGGCCCGGTGCTACAAGGTGCAATGTCTCCACGGTTCTGACATGCCAAGGCGAAGTGACAGCAGATCCACCACAATGGCACAGCAGATGCTTCCCAGCAATGTTTATAAGGGAAAAAAAACAGACATCCCTGCCCTAATAAGACAGATGGATAAATTAAAAGCTACAATAATATTTCCATGACTTAGTAAAAGGACGCAAATGAGACCTTGGTAGGGGATGTGGGTTCTGAGTGAGATAGAGGAAAGATTATTTTTAAGAATTAAAAAATAAGGACAGAAGAAAGGACAGGGAGAGAGAGACAGGACAGAAGGGATGAATGAATACGTGACAAAAAGAGGAGAACGAGGACAATAGCTCATAAATACTCCCACTGAGGTGGTTTTAATTGTCTCTACATCAATTTAATTTCACAATTGCTACACGAGCAGATTAAAGTTTGCCTTACTCAAGTAAAAACACATTTGGGGGCTCACTTAAGCAGTTCTATCTCTTTTGCATGCATTATTTTAAATGGAAATCACAAAGCACCTGCAAACCAGTTGAAATATTGCGAGGGTGTTTAAAATAAGATCTGCCTACTCAACTGTGCTAAAACAAAGGGTTAGTTCCACCCCAATCTCATGGAAAAATTTAACTATATTATTGGGTGGCAATTTGGTACGGTGTGATGAAAACTTCGTTTTTTTAAGTAAGCATGATCTTGCTAAACATAACAGTGACTGATTGTATGAAAACCTACAAATGAGACTTCAAACGAATTAGCCACCAATTCAACAAAATGTAACAGTTACGAATTGCCATGAGATTATGTTGTAAGTTCACCCCAAAATTTTAAGTTATCAATTACTGACCCTTTTAATTAAGACTTTCATTCAACTTCGAAACACAAATGAAGACATTTTTCAGGAAACCCTGCATTATTTCTGTATATTTCATCCTGATTTCATCCTGTCCCTGCATTGAAAGTCCATTTCACCAAAACTTTGAAAACTGTTCAAAAAGTTCATTGTAGAAGACAACTGTAAAAGTTCAAAAGACATTGTAAAAGTAATCCATATGATTTGAACGTTTTAATCAAAGTCTCCTGAAAAGACACAATCACACGGTCGTAATTGCTTGACGTGCAAGAACAAACCTCACATGTTCTTGCGAAACCTCAAACGTACTTGAATGACATGCAAGTACAAGTTTGAGTTTCCATTTACCATATTTGAAGCCCTTTTACGGGCTAATGTTATTGGCCCCGAAACTAATGTTTGCTTGCGTGTCCTATTATAGACCTCATTGGTTCAGACCAGGCATCAACAAGTCAGAGTGGCATAGACTGACTTCTAGAAAGTCATAGTTGTTGGAAAGCTTTTTTGAGGGTAGACAAAAAAAAAAAAGCACCATTAATGCATCGCACCATGTATAGCTAAAGCGAGAGACTTCCAGATGTCTTTAATGCATCAAATGCACTTTAAGTTGTTTATGACCTCAAAAGGCCTGGGTGAAAGAGAGATAAAAATACAAATATGGCATGAAAGCTTGAGGGGGTGGAGTGGAAACATTCATACAGATCATTCATATTTTGTTTGGTTGAAGTCCATGTGTGCTTGCGGCATTCTGTATGCAAAGAAAACTCATGGGAGGATGTTGTTTGAGAGCTCAGAATACGTAAAAACTTTTAAAAGTTCTTAATTTTTCATAATCGTTTGATCCGCAGCCTACAATAGGAGCTCTCAAGGACGATGCAATAACCACCCAACATCAATCAATCATAATCACATCCTCGATCAATGGTCCTAAATTTATTTCTGTTTACTCAGCTTCAAATATTATCGAAAAAAGTCTTTGTTTTCCTTTTTCAATACTTTCCATGCAGGTAACTGATAAAACACTGACTAAATGAGACAAGTGCTTAGAATCAGTATTGTATTCTGGACACAAAACTCAGCATAGAGGCTCAGAATGTACCCCTTTTTTTCCTTTCCATTTATTCAATTCAGTACTAGGAACGTTTGTCTATCAGTCCAATTGAATGGATTCTTATTTATTGCTATCCAAGCCCAGGATAATGGTCAAAATCAAAGACAAACAATGCATAATAACTCACTTGAGAGTGACACAGCCACTGCCAGAAGGTGGCGCTGTCCAGAACACCTGTGTCCTTGTGCGTCTTCTGGGAATGCTCTCTGTGACAGCCGGAGGGCAGTTAGTCATGAACTGCGTGTCACTTTCATCGATTATCTGCGGAACAATGAAACCACACATGAGAATTAGTAAATCATTGAATATTTGGGGGGAAGCTAGAATTAAAAACAAAAACAGCAAGAATCTGATTGATTTGGGGGTGGGGGGAGGGGGGTTTAGACTAATGACGCAACAGTTTCCCAACTAGACAGCAGATTAGTACCGTAAATGAGCTCAGGGATGACTACAGGATCAAATTTCATCTGTGGGCCAAGATGACTAACTGTACATGACAGCTCTTTCAACATCTTTGAGTGCGGAACACAAATATGTAATTGATGGTTCTGTGCTACTTAGACCTAGAGCTCATGTTAACCCATGATGCAACATTCTGAATGAGAATGAGGCAACTTTGAAATGAGAAAAATGCACCACTGCAATCCATGCAGATGAACTGATTTTTCAAAATGTTGAATATTTGCCCCGATTATAACGCTCTTCTGACATTTGATCATAATTTGATGAATTACTTTTCCCATGATAAATAAAAATGTAATTTAAACATCCATTTTTAATCAAATTATTTAATTAATTGCTTTCCCCAAGCAGTAATAGGGCAAAGTTAATTGCGGCAAGCAAATAGAGCTGAGATTTGTGAAAAGAAATGATATAATAAGCCATATTTCAAAAGTAAATGGTGAAAGGTTTTATGCTAAAAACATGACAGCAAATTTAAATACTCACAAGGTCTGGTTAAATTATTTCGAGAGAGTAAATAAGAGGTAAATAAGACTTCTTTCACATATATACTTTTGCAAACTGCAACTTTTTGTACCTGTAATTAAGAAAAAACACAGACACAAAAGTACATGAAAAGTCTTAAAGAAATGTATTGCTCCTGCTGTTTGTAAAATACATTATCCAAGTGATGGAAAATTCCACTGGGGATGGAAAAGTACAATTTTGTTTGCATGTTTCAAAAACGAAATCGCTGCCAAATGTCCATCGAATAGTAAAATCCTTGCTCGTGGTGCATTAAGTTCTTCCTCCCTCTTTCTCACTCTATCTCTCCATTTCCACTACCCACTCTTTCACACACAGTCTCATGCAAACCCCAAAGCTGCACACATTACCCTCTGGTTCTGTCCTTCATTTACAAAGTAAAAGCTGCAATTATTGGCATCTCAAGCAACCTTGTTGCAAACATGTTCAGACTGAAAAACAAAACAGTGAACCGGAAATTTCCGAATTGATAGGGAAACTAGGCTAAACTTTGAGCTGTAGGACTGTGCAACAGCCGCTCTCCTAGTGTTTATTTTAAAAGAGGCCATGCGGGCCAAGCAGCCGGGTGCATTGTTTCCTGGGTAAAAAAGGGGGCTTTAAGTGGCTGTCTCAGAAATGCTGCGAACCAGCTGGGGGAAAGTTGTAGGAAACAGAGGAGAGGCATTTGTTTTTAAATGTGACTTCTGGCGAGGCTGTGTGGCCCTGCTCCTGAGAGACAGTGAAACAGTTTTCTGTTTGCTCTTTTAAACTCTGCTTCTTTTCAGTTGGTCTTTCAATAACCACGTCTCCTGAAGGAATTGAGGATGTTTCATCGTCCTGGGGGTTCCTTGGAGAGATTAAGCGAAACGAATGGTAAGATGTCGCGATGTTTATTCAACCACAATGGTTTGGCTCGAGAGTTGTTTGTCAATTTGTGTTTGCTTGAAAAGAGGAACAGCATTGTATATTATTAACTGTCAAGATGACTGATGAATATGAATATTTTGAAAAGCAGACATGGAGTAGCCAGAACGATATATCGGCCAATATTAGACATTTTCTAAAATATCGGTATCGGCAGTTATAATAGCCGATAAATGAATATAAGCAAGCTGACATAATTATAAGGTAGCTTATAACTATAAGGTAATGTAGGGACTAACTATTATTTAATTTATCAGAACTTAAAAATATTTTGATGTTCCTCTGTTCTGTTGTGACAATAGAAACAAGTTTCTTTTTAAAATGCATTATCATATTATTTTGTTAAAACAACTACAACTATAAACAACTACAAATAACTAATGTTAGGGAAATCTGTTAATATTTTGTTGCGCGTTTCTGAAATAAGAATTATATAGAATATCGGCCGATATATCGGAATATCGGATTTTAAAACCAACAAATATTTGTAACGGTATCGGCCTTGAAAATCGATTTCATACTTTTCAACATCTTCAGCATCCTAAAACGTCATTGATTCACAAACGTTTAGGACAAAACCACAGCTTGTCATTTTGCAGTTGCCTTTGTGTTTTTTTTTTTGTCCATTCAATTTAGTCTGTCAAGACGAAAGAATCCCAAGTTAAAGACCTCAACAGAGGACGTCTGCTAACATCCGCCAGGCAATTTGAGCGCTGAAAAACACAGCGGTAAGGAGTGTAGAGCGGCAACCACAGTTAATGAGATCTAGGGGGAGAGATGCCGCGCTAACAGCCTTCCTGCTTCAGTTTGGGAAGCACTGCGGCTTGATGTAGAGAGCACTAAATGATAGGGGTCCTGTCTTTCATAGAGGACATGGCTCTGAAACGGTCAGTGCGTTACCAATGAGGAGCAACATGTCTGAGTCAACTTCAGCTTTGCTCTCTGGCAAAAGATGGATTTGAAATCCTTAAAACAGTATATGGTCACATTTACTAGGCTATACTTAAATTTTTACAGGTGAAATCCATTCATTTCAATAGGAATCCAAGCGTATGGAAATTTTGTGTGAGGGCAAGAGATTTACCGATAAATTTTTTGAATTGGTCAGACAGGATTCGCTGCAGTGGCAAACAGAAAGTGACTTCTGTTTGAGTGGTGCTTCATATAAACAATAGATAATGTACCTTTTGCCAATGAAAATTCACAGAAATGTTGTGAACACACTTTTAACCCTCTGATGTATGACATCCACTACAGCCATTTTCAAAAAAGTCCTTATGAAATTAAAATGGACAATTCTTGTTTTTTATGGAATATTGCAGTATTTTAAAAAAAAAAAAAAATTTATCTGTGCACATCATTACTTTTTTTAATTCATGTGTCATAATCTTGAATCAAAATAACGTCTCTCTCTTGCAGTGACTTGTCTTCTCTTCTTTAATGACGTGTCAACAACAAGCAATACCAAACCACAACCATCCAATCAATTCTCAATGGACAAAATCAAGTCCAGCCCAACATTTTTTTCTTGTTTGAGAAGCTGTTTAACTCTGATATACATAACTCACAATGGGGAAGAAAAGACTATCACACCTTTCGTTTCATGCCGACTTTAACTAAGGGGTGATTCAACCAATCATTCCATACACTGTAAAAATAACCGTGATTTTAACGGTAAAATACTGTAAAAATGCTACAGTGCAAAACTGTTAATTGGTTAACAGAAAGTTTCCGTACTATACATGGTAAATAACTGTGATATAACTTTACAGTAAAATACCGTTAAATGTACAGTTTTTGAAAGTGAAAAAGAACAAATCATTGTATAATTTACAGTGAAAAAACGTAAATTGACATTCCCACAATTCCCTGTGTGACACCTCACATTTTACTATGGTCAATTACTATGTTTCCTCATAGTTTTTTTTTTCTAATCAGTTATGTACTGTACATTAGAGTTTTATGCTATGTTACAGTACATTTAATGTTGTTAAATTAATGTTTATTGCATTTTTTAAATTTCATCTGTGTTACCATGATGGTGTTTAATGTTTGTGTGAATGACACTGTGCAGCTTCTTTAAATATGAATTACTTAAATAAATAATCACTTGTGATGAGCTGTGATTGCTCATCACTACTGAGATGATTGGTGATTGGTCTAAAACAGATATCAATAGGTCAATAAGTTGGTAAATCATAAGTTGGTTTATCAGAAAATACAATATGGTTTATTACTGTAAATTTTAAGTTAAGTCTGTAAAACCATTAACGTTCCTAACGTATTTTTAATGGTAAAGTTCTGGCAACCACAGCTGCTGTTTTTTTAAGGTTTATTTTTTACAGTGTAGGACTTTCCTCTTTATGTTACATTTTTTATTTATGACAACAAAAATTGAAATCCTCTTTGCACTGTATTCATTTCAAAATACATCATTATTTGGGTAAAAAAGAAAGATGTTTTGTAATCAAATGTGGGTTTAAATATTTCATGCGTCAAAGGGTTAATAGTCGTTTTCTTCCTAAAACGTACCACGTCTAAATACAGACATGCAGATGCAACCCGGCATAAACTGCAAATCATTTAGCAGAGACTGCAATTAGACTGTCATCTTTGATTGCCACAGTTCAAGGCAGTTATATGGGGTCACTGCAATCCCTCACCTTGAAAGTGCCGGCGTAATCGTCAGGAGTGACGCCCTCCCTTCCTTCTTTCAGAGCAATGAGGGTAAAGCCACGAAAGTAAGATGGGCTGGAGGCATACAAACTGACTGGAGAGAGAGAGAGAGAACAAAATATAGGTCAGAGGTACCAGAAATGAGCTTAACAGTAGGTCAGATCTCAACAGTGTGCCAGGGCAAGTCGCAAACTGCTCTCGCATTTGGCACGTACTGTACGTTTGCGTGTGTGGGATGTGTGAGTGCTTTTCACATGGAGCAGTGAATCCATATGCATGTACAAACACGCCGGGCATAAAACCCTCATAAAAAGGCATCTGCAGCTTAATGAAGGCCACTTACATGAATCCAAATGACAGTAAATATATCAGATTATGAGGCGTTTTGATGTTGAAACCAATATTAAACTTATCCTGACAAATTAGTTATTGTGGAAACATTAAAATGTACACCAGGTTATAATGCAAATGGATTTTCAAATCACTTACAATGTTGTCTAAGAGACAACACTTGTAAGGGAGACTGGGTTTAGGTTTGTAACAGTTTAGAAATGAAGCTCTAAAAGATCATAATTCTCCTAAGTTGATGGTAAAAGTTGTTAAGTGTGCGAAAACAAAGGATTTAAAAGACTGAAACATTTTGAAAGTATAATTTCATGTCTTTCTTATAATTTGGTTAGAAATCATAATAATGGGTGTTAAATGGCAGAATTGGCATCATCCGAATCAGCAGATTGTCTCGTTTTGACAAGTTGTTTACTTGTGTTTGATGTATTTCTATATTTATAATACAATTATGTTGTTTTGAATAGGAATTAAAATGTTTTAAATAAAACAGCAGTGATTTTTAACACGTGATTTCCACAATAAATGCATTGCCCATATCGTGTTTTTTATGTTACAGTATGTTTGCTGTATCTACTGGACTCTTGATACCCGACACAAATTTACATTTCCTACTTCAATTTGTAGCATGTGAATATTTCAATCGAAATTTGAGACAGCAAACACAACTGACGTTTTAACAAAACGTGTTACTACAACCCCATTTTCCCCTATCCAAATGTCCTCTTTGGTAAACATAAATGCTGCAAAAAGCAGGTTTTCTAAACTTTTTCAATAATCACACATATTCACCCATCGAATAAAACACTGTTCAGTATTTGAGTGTTATCCAATCTTGATGTAACGTTACCTGCACAAGATGTACTAAGACGACGCTTTACGCATCAATATTTACAAACTCCACACATGCTGTTTTTGGACAGGCTTGCATGAAAAGCCTTTTAAGTTGACAGTAAATGTCATTTTGTGACTTCTAACCTCTGTAAGTGCTCCCGGGTTGGTAAGTTTCTGGGTCTCCTTCAACTCTGAGGCGAAACTCGTTGTGTTCTCTCCGAGCGCCCCGCGTCTGCGTCCGCAAGATCCGACAGAAACCACCCTCGGACCTCGACTGTCTCTCTGTGGTACCTCTTCTGAACGCATCCGTGTGGACGAAAAAGACATTTAAGAAAACCAACAGCACAACCAGCCCGTCTTTGTCCATCATTTCCCCTTCTTTGGCTGTCCAAACACAAGTTTGCAATCTAGTACCAGCAAGTAAACGCCGTCAAAGAACTGGAAAAGACTGTCAAAGCAAACGGACACATAAATCGACCAGACTTGTCTATTTTGGGGTCCATTCACGAATAAAAAAAGAGCAAAGACACCGTATCCATTCCCACTGAGGAGATAGCGGACGGTTGATAGTCCCGTGTCCGCTATGCGCGAGATTGGCGAGCGCGGAGACAGAAGACTCAGATGTTGACTTTACTCAAAGGATATTCACACTGAGAAATACCTATATGGTCTCCTTGATAACCGGGCTCAGACTTAAAGAGAAAAGATTCAGACTTTAAACAAAACCTAGACATAGACGGCTGACATTCTTTTTGAGACGCTGTGTGAGGAGAGAGAGATGTTTGAACAGCCGCGAGCTGCAGTAGCAGCAGAGAAAAGAATCACAGGGAGCTGCGCACTAAGGAGACATGGAGGATGATTTTGGGAACTCCTTCGTCTGTTATGGTTGTTTATGCAAGACAATGATTTGGGGGCAGATATTTTTTATGTGAGGAATTAACTGTTTATTTCCGGTCCAACAGACTTTTTTTTTAATTACATAAGAAAACAAGGCTGTGTTAGCCTAATGTAGGCTACTAAATTTCTCTCATAATCGTGTTTGTCAGCAATACTACAAAATAAAGTTAAAGTACCTACAACAGTCCTATAAAAGTAAATATTATAGGGTAATTTATTTTTCAGACCAAATTGGGCAACATACAGACTGAAAACCAGATTGGAAAGCCATAAATGAGTGGAACGGAGTGATTTACTCTCCCTACAGCGCTATGTACCGCTCTGCTCCAGCTCCATTTCGGGTTTTCCCTTTTCACAATAGCGAGAGAAACCCGCCCCAAACGATAGGGCGAGAAAACACTGATTTCGACTTCTAAAAGTCAGTCAGTGAACTCATTTTGAAATTATGAAAATTAAAATACGTTTATTTTTGAGTAACTGGTTATTAAAAAAAAAATGATAGCCTCCATTGATTTCTATGGACCCTCCCAGCAAACACAGAGCGTTCCCCTAACGTTCCCAAATGAGGTTATTTTTTTGGGAACCAAACAAGAACGTTATAGGAACATTCCATGTATGTTATTTTTAGGTTCCATTTTTTATAAGTAAGGAGAATGTTCCGGGAACGTTCCCTTAACCTTAAGGGAAAGTTCTAGGAATGTTCTTGAAACCAAAAACTAACGTTCCCAGAACGTTCCGAGAACCCAAATTTGTTTGCTGGGATGGTGATGCTGGATAAAATATGACATGGGAGGAAAAAACATCAGTATTTCAATGCTTTTGCGTTCCCTTGCAGAAGCTTTGCCTTCCACTGAGAAAGTTTGCATTTGCTGGCAAAACTTTTCTTGAAAAAAAAAAAACTTGAAACCTTCTTGAGGGAACGCACAACATTTTGCAAGTGAATGCAAAGTTTCTTGAGAGAAAACCACCATATTGACATAATTTTTCCTCCCATCTCTTTATTTTTGCATGTCCCTTTAGAGGCTCTGTAAATTCCACAGTAAAATTCAGAATACATTTTTTAGTGTTAAAATCCTTGCAATATGACAGTGCTGTACATTTTCTTATTGTTGAACGGGAGTGTAACAGTGCTATAAAAGCAGGTCTAACCTTGAAATCGCTGATGTGGACTCAGATATCAATAGCAACTTGGTGACTTCGTCAAAACCACTGTAGCGAGTCAGGAGTTGGAATCGCGAGTATTGAAAACGATCAGGACAGAGTGTTTTGGCATCTATTTCGTCCCCCACTTTTTCAGCATTTTTCAAATGTTGCAGTGGGTGGAGTCAGGCTCTGACCAGGGGTTTAGTTACCCTTTAATCTATAGAAAAGAGTCAGCTTAAAATACACCCTCTTTGCATCGATCATTTCGAATATCCTACATTTTTTTAGGTTTATTAAAAAGCCTGTATTTACCTGGATATTTCATAATGGAAGATATGAAAAAGGATGGATGGAGGATAATGAAAAATCCACTTAAATAAATGCTTTGTGTGCCTTGGACCTTTTTTCCTGTCATTTTTCCCTACCAAAAGCACCTTTGATTCTCTCTCAATGAAGAGAAAAACAGAATGACTCACCAAAAGGGCATACGAAAGTAGTCCCTTTCTAACAATACAAAGACCAAATCTGCTCATAAATGTCTATAGAGGACGACCTTCTAGGCCGAGTTGTTAGTTTGGCACCTCACACATTCACTATGTGTGTGATCTTGTCACCCGACCTATTGATCTGCCTGGGGTTGCGACAACTCAAGGGCTGTGAAATATGGCAGGTTTGTTTGGCTGTATTGGCCTTAAGCTCCGGGCTTGTGTGAGAGAAACACACCAGCAGCATTTGAGCTTGTTAATGCTTCAGTTCATCTTTGGCACAGGCTACAACTCTGGAGAGAGATGAGAAAAGAACGTTTAGAGGAGGTATACGGATGGGGAATGGCAAGCGGACTGACGTTTCTTTCTTTTTTGCACCCTGTTTCGTCCTGTTTTTCGCCCACAGAATCCAAGGACAAAGTTTAGAAATGTAAGAGTTAGTTAAATATAGAGAAGGAAGTGAAAAACTTCAGCTCAACCAGACAAATCATAGACTTTGTCTGCGGTGTGACTGCTGGCCGTTTAAATATGCTAGTCATCTTAAAGGGATAGTGCGCTAAAAAAAAAAAAATTAGTCAGTGTATATATGCATTTCACAAAAAGGTGATATTTTGAGATGTTTCGTTATGCTGCTCTTTTTGATATGTATGTGTAAAATACAATATATAACAAATTAACAGCATACAGGTTTAGAAAGACAGAGTGAAAATATTTTTTGTGGGGTGTACTGTTCCTTTAAGTAACTATTACAGTATGAAACTGCTTTGCATCCAGATGTCAGTTTGGTAACACTGACTTGAGTCAAACCTATCTGTGATTAAGCCAGATGGCAATTTAATGTCTCACGGACACAGCTTTTACTACTTAAGGAAATGGTTGAAGTTGCCAGGAAGCTCTCTTTTAAGTTCCATGACAGTCCTGATATCCAACAAGGTCATTGAGTGCATCGGCACACATCATATGATGTTTCTGTTTATCCTAAGACATCGCAGTTAATTGTAAAGCTGCAATTCTGATAGACTCAACTCTTTTCTGATAGAAAATTCTTGATAGAAAACATTGAAATGCTGTTTAAAAGCTCAGGTGTGAAACACCTCTCACGTATATGTTAATCGCATGCTTCGTCAGCAGACTTTAAGACAGCTGGAGACCAAGGCAGGAGTGGACCTGCAGAGCTAAAAGCCAGTGTTTTAGTCAGTTCTCAGCGTTATGAATAACACATTATAAGGTTGCGGTGCTTGTTTTAATGTTGAAGCCACTACTATATTGCCAAATGATGCAGACCCAGGAGAAGTTTCTGCCTATGACAGACAGCTGTCTGAAAAGTGCTAAAAAAGCGTTTTAATTTTGTATTTTGTAGTCACACATGAGAAATAAAGTCACAATTGTGGGAAATAATCATACAAGTGACATATACTACTGGTTTCACAGACAAGGCTTAAGCTAGTCTTAGTCTAAAATGAATGTTTAAGCTCTTTTAACTGAAAAAAAAAACTTGTTTTTTTTCTAAGGCACATTTTTAAAACCTATTTAAAATGCCTTAATTAAACTAACTTTAATCTAAGTCCTGTCTGTGAAACCGGGTAATAGTCACAATTGTGAGAAATAGTCGCAAATGTGAGATATAGTTGTAATTGTAAGAAATAGTCATGAGATATTTAAATATAATAGCCAATGTGAGATAAATTTGCAATTTTGAAAAATAGTAGCAAATGTGAGATATACTGTAGTCAAAATTGTGAGAAACAATCACAAATGAGACATATGGTCATAATTGTGAGAAATAGTAAAGTAATATAAACACAAAAGCCAACGGGAGATAAAATTCACAATCGTAAGAACTATGTGTAAATTTTACTGTATATAGTCTCAAATGTGAGAGGCGTAATTGTGAGAAAGTCATAAATTTGAGATATACACTCGCAATTGGTCGAAATAGTTGCAAATGTGAGATATAGATTTGCAACTGTGAGAAATAGTTGCAAATGAGAGATATAGTCGAAATTGTGAGAAATAGTCGCAAATGTAAGATACAAATTCACAATTATGAGAAATAGTCGTAAATGTAAGATAAATATTCAAAAAGTAGAAATAGTCGAAAATGTGAGTATAAATTTGGTAGAAATTGTTGCAAATTATATATATATATATATATATATATAAGCAAATGACAGATATAGTTGTTAATGTGAGAAATAGTTGCAAATGAGAGATAAACTGCAGTCGTTATTGGTAGAAAAAGTCGCAAATGCAAGATATACACTCGCAATTGGTCGAAATAGTCGCAAATGTGAGTATAAATTTGGTAGAAATTGTTGCAAATTATATATATATATATATATATATATATATATATATTTAAGCAAATGACAGATATAGTTGTTAATGTGAGAAATAGTTGCAAATGAGAGATAAACTGCAGTCGTTATTGGTAGAAAAAGTCGCAAATACAAGATATACACTCGCAATTGGTCGAAATAGTCGCAAATGTGAGATATAGATTTGCAATTGTGAGAAATAGTTGCAAATGAGAGATATAGTCGAAATTGTGAAAAATAGTCGCAGATGTAAGATTTAAATTCACAATTATGAGAAATAGTCGTAAATGTAAGATAAATATTCAATTAGTAGAAATAGTCGAAAATGTGAGTATAAATTTGGTAGAAATTGTTGCAAGTAGATATATATCAGCAAATGACAGATATAGTTGTAAATGTGAGAATTAGTTGCAAATGAGAGATAAACTGCAGTCGTTATTCGTAGAAATAGTGGCAAATGAGAGATATAAATTTGCAGTTGTGAGAAATAGTTGCAAAATATCAATTTGTAATTGTGAGGAATTAATCACATTAGTCACATTAATGACAAAGAGCGTTTGTGAATAAATATTACTTGATTAAATAAAATCACGATTGATACTGTAGTGTAGATCTTTTGTTTTATCCTGAAGCAGAAACATTCTTCCATCTTCCTATGCAAGATAAGACAAAAATGTAAACATCTAACCAGCTCACATCATCGTACTCAATGCCACTCTGCAAGAACATCAGGCTTTTGTTGACTTTACAGTGTTCACTGCCTGAGCACAGGGGTGCATGGTTATGTCTATACAACATTGTTTGTTGGCCCCCAAAAGGGTAAGAAGAACCATTATGCAGGCAAGCGCAGTAGCCTCTTGTCCTAAAGTGATAAATGTTCAAATCACTGGCAGCTAATGTACTGTGCTGGGGACTTTTTCTCTTAGTAGCATTCTAATTGACTTAGAGGCAAGTGATGCAAAGAAAGTCCATATGCCCATTTCTCCTGAAACACCCTCCATCCTTGAACCTTCCCTTGATAATTAGTAGGTGTAGCTGTAGAGAACGACCATGAGGTCTGCTTTTTCTCTAACCTCAGTTGGCATATCATGTAGATGATGGTTTCAGACTTTCACTGTAGCTGATTTACAAGGTGTTTTGTACTTTGTCTTGCCATTTAAATCCCGGCTCTGCTCCTTTGATAAAGCCTCCGTCCGGGAAATGGCGCAGATGTAGCTCGGACAACTGGAACATTTTTGAGCACAGATTACTGAAGGAGTTTTCAGAACCTGGAGACAAGATTTCAGTTAAATAAAACGAACAGAAGAGTCTCGTCTCAAATTGGAATGACTTATTCTCCTTGACCTTTCACAGTCTTTCAAGCCTTGTTTTTATGCAGTCTCAGAGCAAAAGTAGCATTTCCTTTTGACAGGATTCACTGCCTATTGTATTAAAAATAAGAATTGCATTGAGAAATGCATTCATGTACTCATTTAAATGTTTTTTTTTCTAAAATAATGTTATTTTTATGTGCATTTCGGGTTTTGCTGTTGTCATGTAAATTTGTTGTAATACTTTTATTTATAAAATGTATATAAGTGCCTGTCACTGTCACTCTCAGATGTCAAATCGAATAATCAGCATTAATCGCACCTAGTTTTATATATGAAGAGTTCAGATGCAAAAGCCTCTAAGTGCCATTTGAAATTTTCTTAGAATGATAATTTTTATCAAGCTTGTATATTTAAGTTCAGTGATTTCACTTAAATGGCAATTATAATTACCTATTAATTGTTATTTAAGTGAAATTACTGAACTTAAATATACAAGCTTGATAAAAATGATCATTTTAGAAGAAAATTTCAAATGGCACTTAGAGGCTTTTGCATCTGAACTCTTCATATATATCCATACATTAGGGCTGTCAAACGATTAATCACGATGAATCGCATCCAAAATAAAAGTTTGTGTTTACATAATATATGTGGGTGCACTGTGAATAATTATTTTATATAAATAGACACACTTGTATATATTTAAGAAATATTTTCATGTAAATACTGTATATAGATTTATATATAATTTATATTATATATAAATATAAATATTTTATGTATAAATAACATTTGTTTTCTTAAATATATATGCATGTGTGTGTATTTATATATATATACAAAAAAATTATACACAGTGCACCCACATATATTATATAAACACAAACTTTTAATCTGGATGCGATTAATCGCGATTAATCCTTTGACAGCCCTAATATATAAATATATATACATATTTACAAACTTAGATTAACTGTTAGATGCAATTAGTCACAATTAATCGATTTGACAGCACTACTTTTTGCAGACCTTTTTTAATCTCTTTTAAAAAACAGCAATAATATTTACTTTGAAACAATTTTCACTCATAAATTTTGAGTAACTGTCCAAGTAACACACTGAATTAAATGTGAAATGCTCTTGTAAAAACTATTTCAATAATCATTGTAATTTACAACTTTTACAGTTTACATTTACATCACTTTTACAGTACAGAAAAAAATTACTGAAATATAAAAAAAAAAAAAAAAAAAAAAGTGAACTATGAAAATGGAAGGTAGTAACCTTGGTTCAGGGTTTCTGTACAAAAACATTCCTGCAGTTAAGTTGCAAGATATAACATGATATTAATTTAGTTAACTGTGAATCATGGACGTATGAGAATATCTTTTGGGAAAAGGTTAGTGCAATCTGTGTCACAGATGGTGGTGGTTTTTGCCCTGACAAACAACATTAGATATTAGTCATTTTTTTCCTCAGATGGCCTTGTAAAACTGCAGTATAGCATGCAACCATGCATGGCATAAATGTGCAATGACAGATAGGGTCAATGTCTGCGGTTTCTCATCCAAATCATCATTTCAGACTGTCAACAACAAACACCGAGGTCAAAGCATGACAAAACTAAGGTCTTTTGACAATGATAAATTCCACTATTTTAGAAAGAGAGTCATTATTTTACTTTACACTTTCTTTTGATCTATCGTGAATGGATGGAGCCATCTCTAAATTGTGTTTAAAAATAAATTTCTAATCAAAGTTAGTCTTAAAAGTCATTTCAGTACACTGTCTGCACTCATGAGAAATTAATGTAGTTTTTAATCTACAGTATAAGCAGCTTTTAACTCCAAGCAAAGTTTCCATTCAAACAAACAGTTTTGAAGTAATTCTGAGCCAGACCAAAAAGAATTTTAAATGTTCGATCACCCCAAAATATTTTTTTCTGTCAAGATATAAAAAGGCAAAAAGGGTAAAAATATCTTAAAAGTGGTTGTGTAATCTGTTTGTTAAATTCCAAGTCATTGCTTTGTGTGAGAAACTGATTGAAATTTGACTTATTATATGCAAAATTTCCCCTTCAGCGAGACGTTAACCACTGCAACTAGATCTTTGATTCAGTGAGTTTGTAAATGAATCATTTATGAACTGACTCACCAAATCCTTTAAATCAATAAGTTATGACATGTTTTACATTGCTTTAACTCATCAAAATAAGCAATTATCTACTTTTTATACAAGATTCAACTACTTTAGTTTAATGCAATTTAAGTTAAAATGGCTTAAATATCTAAGTTGATTATACTAAAAAAAATTATGGCAACAACTTTTTTTTTAGTGTGTAAATCAGTTTGACTTGACTTGATTCATTCATTACATGCAATATTACAAGTCAAACAGTTTTGGAACAACATGAGAGCAACCTATTCTTTAAATACAAAACAACAAAAGGGTGCGAGGAAACTACTGCAACAAGCCAATAAAAAGCTTAATACTGCATTTCCCTGCCAAAGTTATTTTTTCTTATTTGCGAGAGTGCTTTTTATGGCGCTGCTAAAACATCTTTAAAAAGCTGCAAGCAATTTAAAGGCCCCATAAATCCAGTTTAATTGTTTTAAAATGGGCTGTAAATCCAAGCCTCTTTTGTTGATTTCTGATGTACAGAGCAAATCGAGTCCAAATGATGTCATAGCGAACGACGCTAGATTTCGCCTTCCTGTTTTAATTGGACCTTAATGTACTCATGCGACCACTGAGGAAACTGCTTCAGAAATTCCCTTTTTATGCCCCATGTGTCAAAATAATGAGCTCTGGATGTAATTTAAACATTGTATTAGTGTTTAAAAGCTAATAAATATCGTTGCCTTCAGAAAGCTGATTTGAAGAAAGGACGCAGAAGCCACCAACCGTTTAAAAAGAACCAAAAACAGGGGTTTAGAAACCCAAAATTTATGATAAAAGATCTTGGAGATCGTGTCAGAAGTGAAGAATGGGATGCAAGCATGCTCTTTCCACTGTCAGAATACTTCATGAAACAATGCATCATCAAATAATGCGGTTATGTGCGAGACCACCTGTAATCAGAAATCCCAGTCGCACTTTTGTGTGTATTCTAATCCGCCCGTATTCTGCTCTGAAATCGCCCGACAGTGCTGGCCTTGTCCAAACCAATGTAATTACCTCTCTTATCTGAAAAGAGAGGGCTTAGACCATTTCTTTTTGCTAAAACAGCCACTTTGTATGACACGTTAGAAAAAACGCTAAAAACCGAGGTCTGCAGACACTGCTTATTTGTGTTCAGAAGGATTTAATATTCTGAATGAAAGTAAACGTGCTGCCCCCGTTCGCTTCGGTTTGGGTTTGTGACTCCAAGCAGCAGAATACAATCAAAGTCCATTATGACTGGAACAGCCAATCGTATCTCTTGAATTTTAATGTGCTCTGGAGAGGAAATATGACTCAAATTCAATTTTATTAATTCGACCTATTCTTGAATCTTTACCATATATTTTAACAGGGGTTACTAAATTATCAATTATACTTTTGCTTAGAAATAATACCATAAGCTATAACTGAAGAGCTAAATAAATAATAAAAAACTGAGAAACAATTCGATTCCGATTCCTTTTGGCGTATTTGTAAAATAATCCATTTTGCTAACAAATGAGCCAAATTCTCTCTCCAATTACTTATCTTTCTGAACCATTCTTCAAAAGAACCAACTCATGAAAGTCATTCGTTTCAGGAATCGTGCTACGCTGGTGGCCTGCACGTATCTGATTCGCTACAAACAACCAGTTCAACAGTTCAACAGCCATTTGAATCCAATTAAATAACATAAGAGTATAGTAATGCAGAATCACAAGGCCAAGGCTGCTTGGATATAACATCTTGAATGGTTAAAATAAGTAGCTTTTCAACTCCTATGCTCACAGTAGTTCTAGCGAGACCTTTTCCTGTCATAGTCTACAGACTCTAGAGGACTCGAGGGTCAGTACAACACAGCCAAAGGATGACACTTGACTCAAAAGTGAGGCTTGCGTGCGACTGCAACCACCAAGAGATGAGGAAATGAATGATCACTCAGCGGCTCGTGAAGTACACTTTAAAGTGGCCTTGATCCAGGACACACTTCTAACATACAACAAGGGCCAAAGCTTAAGTGTTTATTCCATCAGACATCAGAGTGGATATTGACACAACAGAAACATGGAGTACAAGCTGGGTGGGGTTGGCAGATCTTTACTTATTTATATATACTTTTTACTATATGTATATGTCTGTGTATATATATATATGTATAGTACACAAGGACACTTATCTAATATACACGTTGCACTACTGTCAGTTTGCAAGTATTTTGGCTCATGCATCATTTTTCTAAATGGTCTGCCATATAATGGCAGTTCAGGGTGAGATAGAAAGATTCTTCAGAGAAATGAAGTGTCAAGGCAGTAATGTAAAACGATGTATGGCACGTACAAATGGCACAAATTGTGTTGAGCAGATAACTGCAAGGAAAATCCACTGACAGCAAAAAAAAAGCACATACTTTGAAGAGCACATCTCCTCCATTAGTAAATTTGATGAATTTCCATACCAAATTCCCTGGATCTGCTTAGCAGGTCCTATGGAAAAGAAAAAGAAAAATAATTTAGAGCCATTTTTATTTAGAGAGACATTTTGCTCTTAAATTGCCTTTCCAAACTACATTTTCTAAAAGTCAACATGAAATATCCCCTTTCTAAAACTTTCTAAATTTTTAAATGAGCTTTGAGCATGTCAGAGTTTTAACATTGTTACTCAACAAGCAAATCTAAAAAAAAAATGCACTCGTACTGTACTTTATCATTTTGATCTAAATTCTGTAGGAGAAACACAGAAATACCGGAAACCTGAAGGAACAGTAGAATAATCCATCTCAATGAAGACTGGATGGAAGAACCAATCAAACCTGCAAACCAAACAGACATGGCTAAATCTGTATTGGATATCAGATGGAGAATAGACTTTTAATTAAATTCGGATTGTGGGCGCTGGGCAGATTCCCAGAAGCACAGTCTTGTCCCTAAAGACAAAAAAAAATTTAATTCTAATTTATTATGCTATTAATTCACATCAGTATTGGGTTGGCTCAGCGTCGGAATGTTATATGATAATATGTCACTGAATCTTTTTCAAGAATGCCAACGGTCCTCATTTGCCAAACATTTTCCATGGCAACAGGAGACAGTATCCAGATTAAGTGTTTGTGCATAAATCGACCAAATAATGATGCTAAAAAATACTTTGTCATAATTGGACAGTTTTGCAGGCTCATCCAATATATATGCAAATTCCATGGTGTTTGAGTGTAAATTAATTTGGTCCAATGAAACAAAATATGTCTTGCACTTCACTGCTAATGTATGCCAAATTGACACTTGGCCTTTTAATTTTAAGTGAGAAATGTCTGTTCCGTGGCCATCGGCAAGACAACGGTCACTGTAAACTTTGTTGTCTTTTTAAGATCGAACTTAAAATTAACCTAGCATGAAAAGTAGCTAGTTTTACAGTAAACACATGAAATGTCTGCCCCCAGAATATTAGTTTCTGTTCCTCTCAATTCCGATTTCATTTTAACTCCTACGGTGGCCAATGTAGTCCAAGATTAACATGGCTTCCAGTTCGACCTCGTCTATTAGTGTTAACTCAAACGTAAACGCGAAAGGTGAAGCTTGAATTAACGGGTATGTCCCTCTTTGGCTAATGTACTTTCAAGATGGAGGGGCAACATGGCGACCGACATTAGAACCCCTTACCCGTATGTATTTTCAATGGCAAATTATACACTCACGAGAATACTTTATTACTTGAACGAAGTAAATATACATTAATGAGCACATATATTTTTGAAAGAACTAAGTGTTTTTAGCTAAAAGAGTTACACAGTGTAGCTTTAAAAATGGTACATTTGGCCCGTTCCACCTCAGAGATTTTGTGACTGTATCTAACAATTAAAATCATCCAACAAGGGCATCATTTTGACAATATTTTGTTTCATGAAAAACTAACATTACTTTTTACACAGCATGATGGAGACAAGTAAACAATCTCATTCAGCTGTGTCAATTTCTACACAAACTTCGGACAACATTCAGCCCTGCCATGTTATTGTAAGAAATAAAATCATCAAATAAATATTCCTGATTAATTTATGGAAAAACATAGCTAGAAACCAACATTTGGCCCTAACTAGCTAGCCCATATTTTACAACCCTTTTACAAAAATAGATAAAAAAATAAAAAAATAAATGGATGAGATTTTCATTTTTCTAGGAGAAGCACCATAGTTTAAACCATGCTCTAAACCTAAACACACACGCACATATATATATATATATATATATATATATGAAGAGTTCAGATGCAAGTGCCATTTGAAATTTTCTTCTAAAACTTAAGAAGTTTCACTTAAATGGCAATGAAGATTACCTATTAATTGTCATTTAAGTGAAATCACTGAACTTAAAAATACAAGCTTGATAAAAATGGTCATTTTAGAAGAAAATTTCAAATGGCACTTAGAGGCTTTTGCATCTGAACTCTTCATATATATATATATATATATATCATCATATGTGACTTGCTATATTGCTCTCATACTGGGTGACCCCTGCTAAACAAACACATCTGCAATAGGTTTGTGATGGGAGCCAACAATCATTACTCATTCGCTTCAGATGACTCCACCTGCCTTGAAAGGACTAGGGAGGTTCTGGCAAAACACACCGCTTGCAGACTTTTAGCTTTTACTTTTAAAAAAAATCGCCTTTACCAAGTTCTGCCTTCTTGCTTGGATGTCTTATGAATGTAAGACTACATATCTGGCCTCTTAAGTATCTGTGCAGGTCCATCGAGGTTTGCACGTTGTATTCTTTGTTTTCATTTAACTGTGTGCAGCAATAAAAGCAATTTCTCCCACCATAAAGGATTAAATGTTTCCCTTCATAATCTATTGAATTTGGCCTAATACAGCCAAGGAACAATAAACAAACCCAAATGGAAGCCACTAAAGCACAAGTGAAGCAATTTTCCAATTGCATGAGAAACTATTTTCCTATTTTTTCACAACAAATGGGAATGGTGCTTTGTTTGAGATTTATGCTTGCTTTTTTCTTTTTCTTTTTGATTTGCACTAATACTCTCTAAATCGCTTTACAAAGTAAAAACATTTTGTTGTAGTCTATTATTCATAAGCTTGCCACAATGTTATGGCTCTCAATAAAGAAACATTTATGGGTTTTTCTTCAGCTTCGGTTTTATGGCAATTTTTATGTCCTAGCAGTTGAGTTTTAATACAATTAGTAGATTTCAACATTTGTCTTTGCATTATAAGATGCTTAAAACAGATGTTATGTTAACTTTTGTATAGACTATCATTTTGTTTTCAAAAAACTCTCTAAAAATACAAAAATCTACCATAGAATATCAATGATAACATTTAATAAATATATAATATTTTGGCAAATAATGAAGAAAAAAAATGATTTCAGTCATGACAACTCTTGGGATAGTTTATAAAAATGTTTTATTAATGTAAACGAAATGTAGGATTAGCTCTACAGAGCAAGACTTGCTTCTGCGAAAGGCTTACTTACGTAAAATTAATGCCTGGTTCAGATTACACAATTTTTTTTGTCTGTTACGATAGTCACTGTGTCAGATTACGCGATTTTGGCTCCTAAAATCTTGTCGTGTCGTAGACAAGACACATGTCAGACTACACGTTACTTCCTGACCAGTCATCGCATGCCGTGTTTAACAGCGCGCGATGTCATCGAGAAGGCGAAACTCGTAGCGAGTGACTTCCTGGATTGCTCGGCATTGCCTTTTCAGCGTGAGAAATACACGGTGTGGCGCGTGAGTGTGTGAACTGGTTGAATTGCGTGTGTCTCACGGCCATTGCATGAGACTTGAGAACCCTGCTCGAAGAGGACAGTATGGGCTGTCAATCCTCCAAAGAGAACTTGAGGTAAAATATTGTTTTCTTATATATTTTTACTTCTAGTTTTAACGTTAGCACCATCGTCTCTCTTTCGTTTTGACTTTTTTGAAAGTTGTATACGGAAAAGCTTGTGCTCCTATTGGTCAACCTCATACATGTGACGGAACCGTCGTGGACGACCGTTAAAAAAATTAAACATGCTAGTCTTTTTGTTGTGATGTCGTGAAGCATCGCAGACGCGACGTACCTGTGGGTTGTCGCCCACTATGACACACTATACGATATGATACGATCGAATCTTGCGCCCCGACGCCTGTTGTCGTTTACGAATCCCCACGACACCCTACGTCAAACGGATCATGCCAAAATCGGGCTAAAATCTTGTAATCTGAACCAGGCATAAAGGAAACCCACACAGTATATGCAAGTGGTGCTGGGGAGGACGGAGGACTAGAATAAAAATTCGCATAGCGCGCAAATTTTAGTGTTATTTTTGGGAGATGGTGTGGTCAATAAAGGGAAGTAGTACTGAATACATGAAATAGATTGTCTGTGGAGGTTTGAAACAACCAATCAGAACCCAACAAGTGTTTTATGGTTGAACTATTCATTTATGTACATTTTTAAAAAAATCTTCCCTAACTAAAAAAAAAGTCATTTTCACCAAGTCATTTCCAACACAGAGTCCTATTAAACACAACACATAATTGGAGAGGTGTCTGTATTTAATTAATAAAAAAAAAAATTCTCCCGTAAAACATTTTTATATTTTGCAAGTGGACAAATTAAACTAGTAAGAGAGTGAAAAGTGAGTTAAGATATTTTATTTTCAAAAGACGGCGCCTTCACACTGGCAGTTGAAATCCTCTCTGATACGACTACGAACCGACTGGAAGACCGTATGGGAATGGGTCTGAAACGGGTCCGACTGAGTGCGGTGTGAAGAAAATCGTGTCCGTTGGTCATCCGGATGTGTTCAAAAAATTTAACTCTTGCGAAAAGCTACGGATGGTTCCTATCCGAAAATTCCAGCGGAAGTTGAGCGTTGCTATGGTACTGATAAACAAACCTGAATTATTAACGTTTAATTAAATAAATAATGATTTTATAACAATATGTTTTAATTGCCTTTTTTAATTGTCTTTTAATTTTCATGACTTTCTAACGTTATTAGGGCAATTAATAGAATTAAATTGTAGGCAGACATTGAACTATTGACCCCCATATCACATTTTTTAGTCGACCTGACACGTCCTCAGCAACTTTCCTCACGCAACAGCCTTCCTATTAATATCTCTATAACCCTCATCAGAGATCATACAGAACTGACAGAATCAACCTTTCTAATCTCTCCGCCATTTTTGTTCTACGCTTTTCACTGTGTAGCACGACATCCGTTGGGAGCGTATTGCATACTACGGAGCTGATTTGAACTGCCAGTGTGAAGGCGGCATAAGGGCCCAGAGTTGAAGACACACACTGTCAGAAAAAAACAAGCTATTGTACCCCAAAAGGTACATTTTTTTACGATCTTTTCCCTGAAAGTGAATAAATCCTTGCTTTGTGCGTTTCATTAAATTATATGACGCTGTGCTGCTTACCTTAGTTTTAATCCAATTGGAGATATAGGTGCTTCATCATTGAGCAATGACACAAGAAGAAAGAAAGATTTTCCTGACTCTGTGCCCAGCACTGTTGAGCATACTGTTACGCAAAAACTATTTCGGGGAACTACAAGTGTATCGATTCAAATTATGGAATGGAATGTAGCATCCAATAATTTTCCTTAATGTCATAGCTAAATGTGCAAAGTAAAATATGATAAATGACTGTGCAATACAGGACATTTTGTTATTTAAGGGTAATTCTGTAATGAAACTCATATTTTGTTCTAATATGACATACTACTTTCTTTTTAAACCTTAAAAAGGAAGTAAGTGTTCTACTTTCAAATTCTGAAGTGAGGAACCTTTGAAAACTTAAGTTTATTTACTTATCACCTCAATTATTTAATCAGTGAATTGAATTTTAGAGATAGGACACTATGATTCATAAAAATCATTTAGACCACTTTTATGAACTACATTCAATGAGAGAAATGATTAATTCTTTGTCAAATCATGACAGTATTTTAATTTCTGTGCGATTATTCTTTTAATTTACGAATACCGACTGCTACACATCATAACTTCTACAGCATCTTTCATAATGGCATTGAGTTTGAACCGTTGCTTTATAGCTCAGTTAAGTTTCTTTTTGTAATTATTGCTAACTTGTGTCATTTCCTTTGAACACAGCACTATTGTCTCTTTCTGTCTTTCATCACCAGAACAAATGTGTACGGCATTGGCTTGTTTGAACTTGTGTGAGCATTGAACTTATATTAGCTTATCCTCTGAGACCATTTGCTTAAATTAGAATAAAAGATCAAAGTAAATTACTCATAAAAATCTCTCTCTTGTCTCAGCAGCAAAGTTTAATGGTTAAATAAGAATGGTTAATCTGTCAAAAAGTGATTGTGAAAGCAACTTTTAAACTTACATAATAAGTCCCCCTCCACCTCCCAAATAGTTTTGGTCTAAATAAGTACCAATTTTTTATACCTCTGGAAGAGGGATGCCATTTTATCCAAGAGATCACATGTTTGCATTTGAATGATGTTCAGGATATATTAAATGTAATGTTTTAGGCAATATAGAGGTATAAATCTTAAAAAAAAAAAAACATCTTATTGTACCATCTACAAAAGAATATTTTTCCAATCACATCCTTACAATCTCTGAGGACACACTACAGCATATTATTTTAATATACTATGTATGAAGAAAATGGACAATGTTTTCTAAAGTTGCATTCAATAAATTCTGACCCAAAATAACAGGCCTTTTATTTGTGAAAGCATACTGGAAAATGTTCAAATCTTGCCATATTGAGTTTAGACCAGACTTCATAAATCAATAAAAAATAATATTTTGGATGGCTCGTCAGTGTGGTTGGTATAGCTTCAAATATCAAGCCATATTTCACATCAAAAGTGTGTAGCACAATAAAGTTTTTGAAAAGTAATATTATTGAAAAGTTAATATTGTCTTTGAACTTCCGTTTTTGCGGTCGTTCTGTATATCTCTATGGCACTGCTGTCCTGGAGTAATTAGCTTTTGAAGAGGATTTACTTAATGTAAAGTTAACGAAAGTTATCATGAGGATTGTAATGTTTAAAGCAGATGTCTTAACAAATGTCCGTAGACCGGGAAGGTTTTAAAACGAGCTGTTCATTCATAAAAAGCAAGATCACTGTGAAAATACAGACCAGAAGACAAAAGACAACGAGTGCAGCGCTGAAAAGGGGTGGGGCTATATAAGGTCTATAGAAGGGTCAAGAATTTAAGAGTTGGAAAGGTTCACTTGAGGTTTTTCGTTGAAACGTAATGAGGCATCAGCCATCTTGCTTGACGAGGACTAAAAATGTTTGGCGGACCGGATGTATTCTACTTTAGGTTCTTGTGGTTCTAGGTTCTTGACCATTGGCGGAGTTCTCCTTCAGACCAAGAGATGTCAGGATTGTGGATGGCTAATAGCCAAGAATAATGGGGTTTCAAGGTGACTGGACAATATGAAACTCTACCTGTTCTTTGTGCAGTAGTCCCACTTGCAGTTGAATGGCAGCAATGATGGCTTGAACTAGGCCATTTCCAATAGGTTTGTCCTCAATAGCAGTGATCCTGAGGAATCTTGAGTCTTTCTAGGAGATCGGGATCAATGAAGTTGGCAGCAGCTCCTGAGTCGACTAACGCTGAGGCAGTGAAATAGAAAAATCATAATTGGTATAGCCTCAAATATCAATATATAATGTTCCACAGCAGAGTGATTCTTTGTTCAGATAACTAAAGAGGATTGTTGGTTTACCTTAAAAAAAGTAAGTAAATCAGGTTCCCTTAAAATTTTGAGTTCATTGAAATCAATGTATTTTTAGTTAATACAATGAAGAAGATTGGTTTAATCAACTGAAACTCAAAATATTGTTATCTCAACCACATAAATCATTAGTTGTTTTGACAAAAGAAAAAATGTGATAGAAAAATATTGAAAATATCCTTTTACACTGCATGATTTTCCTCATCATTCGAGAGATCTCTAAGCACCGCGTTCCCCTTTGAACATTTATTGTCATTACTTCATTTAAATAACCAAAAATCGATGGGTATTGTCTTCCACTTCCTCTTATCAGCACAACCTATTGCAGCATCCAAAAGAGGTCTTAAAATGTGTGGTTCTGAGAGGCCTGTGGAAATGGTTTCATCTTTGAAGCAAACCACTCCTTCTGATAGAAAAGATGAAAGGTGCATGGAGAGAGAGAGAGAGAGAGAGTATCCAGTTTATCCACACAGCAAACAGAGATGCATGCTTTTCTGAGTATTTGCATGTGAATGTGAGAATCTGTTCCCATGGCTCTCTCAGGCACGAAAGGTAGGACGACAGCACAAAAGCTAATGTTTAGCATTTGAAGATCCCAGCGACAAAACGCCTCTCTATTAAGCCTTCGCACACACTGTCGAGGGATGCACATACCAAACTGGGAGAAGGTGACAATGTATTAGACACATAATAAAGTTCTTGCAGTGAATACATTCAAGTGACGAGGAGACTCAGTCTGTACTACAGCATTGTGTGAAGTTAAATAAAGGTTTGCTGATGATTTAACGGCAGAACGCTATGTTCTCCTCAAGCGGTTTATGTTTCACAGTGAGAAATTTTAATCAGAAGTCTTACGACTAGCTGACAGTTCTGTTGAAATGAGCGCCTTACACCCTCACGACCATCTCAGAAGTCTCTGGGTTGACCGCAAGCATATGTAGTGTCTAAACACATTTTGTCATCTTGGAGTTCAATTACAGGAATAACAGTCATTGCTTCTGTGGCTGTTGTGGATTGCACCTCCACAGATGCTGCATAAACCACTAAACAATCAGACTGGCTTTATTGGCTGATATACACATGTGGCACACTGGCAATTGCGGAAATTTAGTTTCTACTGTCTGCACAGAACGGATCAAGATAATGAACTCCCATTTCCCATAGTACACACTGGCACTCAGACAAAAGTGTGCACTTGGGGCCAAAAGCGCATGAAGCTTGCCATGTGTTTTGATATAACAGCAATGCTTTTATTATTAAAGCTTGCAGATTGTTTTTTGTAGCTGTACTCATTTTAAAGCTTAAGAAGTTTTGAGATGAGGATTTGATTTCCAGTGTATTTTTTTAGGGATGCACCGTTATGAAAATTTTGGCCGATAACCGATAATTCTTTATATTTGAAAACCGATATATCGGCCGATAAACTTAAATCCAAATTTTTATCTAATTTTGAGAGCCTGATTACAAAAACAAAAGTCTCACAATTAAATCCATGTCCATGTTATAGTGTTGTATAGCTGATGTGACAGATTTGCGCTGCACATGTTGTACCGAACCGTATTTTCATTTTTTGTAGAGATTGCAATCATATTTCAAGAAATTTAAAAACATAAACAGTGCTCCACTCAGCTGAAGGGAATAATACATTATTTATCGGCTTTAATATAGCGGCCACATTTTCTTACCAGGCCGATAACGATAACATTAAAAATGAACATATATCGGCCGATACCGATATGTTGGCCGATATATCGTGCATCCCTAATTTTTTTTAGTCGAAATAAAATTCTCTCCAAGTCTAGCTGCACTGTAAATAACAAAAATATACAGCATAAAAATATATATAAAAACTCTGGGCATGTTTAGTTTTATGAGTATGCACATTGCTCAAGAAAAAAAGATTCATCACAATTCATTCACACAAAAGTGTATTTTTGAAGAATATCATCTTTTCAATCCAATAAGAAGGACTATCAAGCTTCAAAAACAAAAGTATCATACAATACGACTTGTGTGTGTGATTTTCCATACCTTCACTCTAAACAATGCTGGGTTGTTTTAACCCAAATTTGGGTCAAATATGGACAAACCCAAATGTTGGCTTAAAAATGTAATTTCAAAATGTAACCCAAATTCAACTTTCACTTCCAAATTTACATGTTTTTTATTTCATTTTTAACCCAACATTTGGGTTTGTCCATATTTGACCCAAATTTGGGTTGAAATAAGCATTTTATTGTGTTCATAAGCCATATCTTTTGAACTCAAGAATCAGGACTGTCAAATTCATAAACAAATCAGTCCATTTTATGAACTAACAATTCAATGAAAGAATCAATTCAAACCTCTATTATAGTATGTTCATAAGACTTGAAATATAAGATACTTTACGTTGCTTTTGCCTACTTTTGAGTTGTTTTAACTAAACCATCTGACAAATACAAAAATGTAACCATGCAGTTCTGTGTCAAAATCTGTTGCAAAAATTCAAATGTGTCTATTTGACCTCACACAATACTATTAATTTACAGAACCTTTTTACTAGACATTTTAAATGCAACCGCTGACATTTTACTTGGAGTGAATATTTGTGTTGCCCCTTCATTCACCTATAACATAAAGACCCACCACATCCTTTCCAAGTTGCTTATGCTGCACTTCCTCCACTCCTTTTCTATTGGTTGTGAGAATGAGTCTGATTTGTTTACTCAGGGTCAATTTGCTCATCCCTCTATTGTGCTTCAGAATATTCATCACAGCTGTGTACACTTAATTGCCATGGAAACAATTAATGCGCCTTCCAGTTAAGAATCTGCATCTGCCCAGCTGCAATAATAGAGAGGCTTGGAATTAAATTAGAAACGTCAGTCAAAAAGGATGTAGGTGGAGGAAAGGTTTTAGGTCACTTCAGACAGCTTTTTGCATAGACACAGGCATGCTAATGGAGCTGCATTTCCCTTTCTCGCATTATTATTGTGGGTTTTCAAGGAAATGGACATCTTACAGTGGAACTGTCCTGCCCCGGGGCTCTGAAATGGCGGTAAACAAGAAATCCCCATGACCTGGATCTTTTTCCTTCCCACCTTCCGTTCTTTTCACCGCCTCCTTTTTTGGCACGGCCAGTAATTTCCCAGTGGATGTTAGCACAGTAAAAGTCATTATCTTTTCAAACTGTGACAGTATAGCCTAAGGAATCTCAAAGTGTCTACTTCTTCGACATTAAACTTTGGACCCCCTGACATCCTCCTTCCATTCTCTGGTTGGATTGATTGGCTTGGAATAGATTCCTCTCAAACATCAAGCTGAGAAATGAGCCCGCACTTAGAGACAGGTGAGGAGGCTAACTCACTCACTCACTCTGAGGGTGATGTGTCAACCTGGCACCAAAACCTTGACCCGGCCCAGACCCGAGGGGGTATGGCATAATACTCTACATTAAGGAGGGGCATTTACTCACTATAGTGTCATTGTAAATGATTGTTAATTTACTTGAATTTATAAGTCTGTAATGATTTATTTGTATAGCTATTTTGAAGGACTTTTATTATGATACGGCCTTAATGTGTGCCAACATGGGTGTTTAAAGCACGCTCTGTTTCCGCCATGTGTATGTGCCAAGCAGCAACATTCTAATCTGCAAAATGAAGCCTATCCGGAAGTGCTAAAAACTGCAATACATCTAAAATCCGCTAGAGGGAGGGCCCAAAAGGGAGCAAATATCCATAGATCCAAATTACTTTTTTCATCTTATATTTAGTAAAATGTATTGCACAGCTCTCTGAATGTTTAACAATGGAATTTAGTGTAAAGAACTACATTACCCATGATTCTGCAGAGAATCTCCACCAATCAGAGGATCACAAAAAGCAAACTTCGCCAAAATAATTCTTTAGCGCCCGTGAAAGTCTTTCATGACTTCCATGAAGTCTCTCTACATTCGCAAACTTTTATATTTTTTATATTTTTATATTTTGCAATAAAATGTAAACTATATTGTTTCTATAAACGTAATCTACATCTTTAAAGGTGCAGTGTGTGATTTTTCACGATATCTAGTGGTTCGGTTGCGAGTTGCACTTTTCACTTTTGCACTTTTTTAACATTTATGTCAATACTTAAAAATGTTACACATTGCACCTTTAAATGAATAGTCGTATATTTATCCATTGTATGATTATATTTGTAGTTCTTTCCCTCATTAAAGCTGATTGTAGCCTTTGTCTTTTTGTCTCATTTTCAAATACTTTTTTGCTTCAAATCAAAGTTTGTAATGGTGTGAATGATTCACCTTGTTGCTGGTTGGTTTGGTTCATTACTTATAACTCTTTATTGAAAACTTTTTAAAAATCTCTTTGGGAAAGATGACCGTGAAAAACACTTACGGGACCAAGGCCACTGAAAATCAAACAGACACTGTTACATTCTCTCTACTGTATACTATCTTCTTTCTAAGGCCAGTAAGCGCATTATCTTGAGTATTAGGCACATGCTTGATTTTTATTATCCCATGAAAGCATAAGACGTTTGGCTTTTTATCTAATTCCGTCTTTTAATCCCACTGTCCAGCAGACACATTCATTACAGAAGTATTAGCTGAGGAAGACAGTTTTCACCAAAAATATTTCTGCACAAAATCCTCCTCTGTGATATTTTCTTTCATTTAAAGAATAATGTATGTGCTGTTCTCTCTCTGTACTGAAGTGCGAGATAGTATCTACTTGAGGGGAAAAAAAAAATCTATAAAAAAATCTATAAAATATATATATATATTTTTTAAGGACCACATTTCACTCAACATCAGGACAGCTTAAAGAAAACAACTACAGAAAGCCATAAAAGAACACTAAGTACAGGGATCTAATAATGAATAATTACAAC